TTTATGTGTATGAGTGTACTGCCTGCATGTATGTAAGTGCACCCATGTGGTGCAATGCCCACAGAAGTCATAAGAGGGTGTCAGATCCCCTAGAACTAGAGTTATGGATGGTTGTTGTTAGCCACCGTGTGAGTGCTGGGAATTAAATCTGGGTCCTCTGAAAGAGTAGCCAGTACTCTTAACCTCTGAACCATCTCTCTAGCCACCCCCACACACATCTATATGTTAAAAGGTGCAATGCCCACAGAAGTCATAAGAGGGTGTCAGATCCCCTAGAACTAGAGTTATGGATGGTTGTTAGCCACCGTGTGAGTGCTGGGAATTAAATCTGGGTCCTCTGAAAGAGTAGCCAGTACTCTTAACCTCTGAACCATCTCTCTAGCCACCCCCACACACATCTATATGTTAAAAGCCATTAGTACTAACTTTTCTAGCAGTTCATATGTTGTTGTAGTCTTATGACTTACTACAAATACTACTTCCATAAAAGATTAGCTTTTTTCTTTTTGGTCTTTTTGAGACAGGGTCTCTCTATAGTCCCAGCTGGCCTGAAATTCATTATGTAGACCAGGTTGGCCTTGAACTCACAGAGATCTGCCTGCCTCTGCCTCCCCTCCTGAATGCTGGGATTAAAGGCATGCACCACCATGCCTGGCAGATACTGTGATTTTTATTAACATTAATGCTTTTTGAATTTACTGTCAGTTATATTAGTTACTAATGTGGGAATTAGTAAACTGAAATTGTTTTTTTGTTTGTTTTTTCCATATATACAGGATGCTGCCAATAATGGACCCAGGAAAGGTGTATCAGCTCAGTGTCTGTTTGACTTGCTACAGTCCCTGGAGGGAGAGACCACTGACATATTAGACATCCTAGAGCTGGTCAAAGCTGAGAAGCCTCTCAAGTCACTAGGCAAGTGCAACACTTCCTCCAACATTCTTTTTCTCTTACTGTAATTGTTCAAATAAATATGTATGTGTATAGTTGATCATAGCTATATGTAACTATAACTGTTATATAATGTATGCAACTAAATCAAAACACTAAAGTAAATTTAGCAGTGTTATACATTGAATGGAATAGATTTTCTATTTCCTGTTAATTTTTTATTTCTATCTTAAATTTCTTGTGAATTTAAAGAGTAAGGAATCCTCTGCCATAAAAAAACCATACTAAAACAAAGCTCAGTAAACCACTGCTCTAACACTTCAATCTCAGAAAGACTGGGTTACCTTCAGTAATTCTAAGTAAATCTCTTCAAGGATGATCTTTTATTATCAAGGAATGTATAGAATTAGATATAATTTAAGGATAAAGTTTCCTGTTTTACCTTAGATAAAGTGCTCCAGTGTCTTCTGTTTAATGATATCGTTAAAACAACCTTCTAAAAGCACTTTTACTTATTATCTAATTATTCACCTATAGGAATCAGAAATTCATTCCTTTCAGATGAAGAAATTTATAGTTCACAGAGTTTAGGAATAAAATCTAACAAATAAAAAACTAGTGTTACAAGAAAGACAATGACATTAGGAGTGATACACTCAGCTTACCCTCGAGCAAGCATTCTGAACCTGCTCCTTTGCAGATTTCTGCTATGGAAATGAAGATTTAACATTCTCCATAAGTGAAGCCATCAAGCTTTGTGTCACTGTGGTGGCGTATGCTCCTGAGTCATTCAGAAGGTAACTGCAGCCCTCTTTTCTAATCCTTGTGACAAGTGAGTGTAGCAAAGAAATAAAATTGAATGAATACGAAGGTTGTGTTTGGCATATCTGTTTGTAACATTCTGGCCATCAAGGTTTTGAAAACTAAATTTAGAAATTTCTTCATCACAGAAAATATTGTAAATCTTCATGTATTTGAAATTCCCTAATTTTGGAATTTTGTGCAGAGGCTAAGATGTTTACTCCTGTTAGAAAATATTTTCCACACATGTAATGTAAGTTGTTAGCAAACAAGATTTCCTAACAGACATTCAAACCATTGGTAAAAACTCCTTTCAAGGAGCAGTAAGAATACTGTCATACAAGGGGCGGGAATGTAAATCTCATCTTTCATTTTGCCAAGAACAATGAAGCCAAAGACTCAAATGGAAAGTGAATCACCTGGCTCCAGGATGTTGGCTGGGGTCTGGTATATAGGTTCTGTCTCCTTTTAAGAGTCCTACTGTGTTGGCACACTCTCCAGGAAGAGAGGAGCCATGCTTGTTTTACTTAGTATGGCCCTATCCATTTGCTCCTTAGATGAGCTTTTCCTTTCAGTAAAGGGCTATGAGTGGCCAGGAGTTATCTTAATTGAACTCTTTACCAGAAAGAAGCATAAGGAATGAATAAAAAATGCACCCAGTAGCCTCAGGTTTTTGTTATCTTTAATGATAAGAATTAGACAGTATGTGAAATTCAGTCAGGAGTGTGGCTCCGGCCTTTAAGAGAAAAAAAAAATCTAAGACTGTAGGATTTTCCTGTTCCTCCTACAATATCACAGCTCCAGAAAGAGGTCCAGAATTAATAAAAACCCTGCATTAAGTGAATTCCAAGCCTACTCTCTATCTAAATATAAAAATACATTATGTTCTATTTTGTATTCTGTGTGTACATTGTTAATAAGAGAGTCTGCCTGGATATTAAGTGACTTTACAACACTGTGATATTGAAATAAGTAATGTTCCTCCAGTGTTAAATTGCCAGCAACATAGAAAAGCAAAAAATTTGAACCACCAAACATTATCAAGTTCCTAGTGAGACATGAAATTCTCTTTCAAATTAAAATTCAAACACATTGAAATAAAGAGGAATTAGAGTCTCAATCAAAATTCTTTGTCACTGTAAGTTAAAGTATCTAATCCCCAATATTATGCAGTTATGTTTAAGTTTTTAACAATTCTCCTAATTTTCCTTTCTGCTCAAGTTAAACCAGAGGGTTTCTGGATGTCTGAGTCAGGGACTCTTTAGTAGCTCTTCCCTGAGATGTCCTTATAGGACTTCCATATTTGTAACACCAAGTCCTTATGGTTCTTAAATTATCCATAAATAAGTGTATCTTACTTAACATTCATGTGAGAAGTTTTCAAAAATCATAATTATCTAATTGAATGCTCATAAATTTAGCATGTCTATATGACTACCACTCAGATAAAAGAATCAGATAGGTTACCAAGATCCTCACTCCCACAGAGCAAGTCAGCTTTATTTCTTACCTATATTTTTGTAAAACAGTATAATAGGTACTTTCTAATATCTGACTTCTTTTTTTAGTATTCTTTCATGAGATCCATCCACATATCATCACACAACTGTAATTTAGCTTTTAAGGGGAGAATTGTTTTGGGGGTTTTGTTATTGTTTTTGAGACAGACTGTCTCTGTAGCCCCAGCTGGCCCAGAACTCACTATGTAGCCCTGACTGGCCTAGATCTCATAGAGATCCACCTTCCTCTGCCTCCCAAGTATAGGGCTTAAAGCTGTATACTACCATCTCTTGACATATATTGTGCAATATCCAGTTTAAAGTTGTTGCAAATAATGCTTCAGTGAATGTTTTAAGTTTTTTATACACACATTATATAAGCATTTCTGTGGGTGAAAATATTTTCCTGGACCATGAAATATGTGCGCGCTTTGCCTTAGTAAACACCACCAAAAAGTTTTCCAGTGGCTGTGTCATTTTTCATTCCCAGCAGCAGTGTGTGTTTATTTACAAAGCGGCAAATGCCTGGAGGAGAAAAGTGCCTTGTGAGGTCTGTGTAAACGAAGTCAGCTTCCCCTTCACCTGGTCCTTACAGGATGCCTGGCAGCCTTAGCTTCTGCCAAGTATCTATAATAATTTTTTTTAATTTGCCCAGCCTCCAGCAGGACAGGTAGTCCACTTTACTATTTCAGGAAGCACACTGGTTTGTTGTCTCTCTTTTTACACACTATCAAAAAGTATTAGAACCTGAAATACCTCATAGCTCTGACTCCATACCCATCAAGTTCTGAAAATTGTCATTTCCTAGCTCTGGGTACTTATGCTAGGCATGATTATCCCATCACAAAGCTGTGCTCAGTGTCGATAAGATCATGGCAGAATTATTCCCTGGCATTCTGATGAAGGAAAGTGGGTTAAATAAAACCATTCTTCCAGGCTTTCCAGAATATCATCTGACAAGTGAGGCTTCCTAGAACACACAGCTTATAAACTTAACTCAATTGGCAAGTCTCCCAACAACAAAAAAATATGTTGCAGTTACAATAAACCGTTTTAAGGACAGAAATCCAATTTGCATAATAACTCCTGGATTTCCAGCTGCTCTTTAAAATGTTTTTAATAGCTCATTACTACACCAAGTGTGCAGCCCATCCAGGGAGTGGTATCTACTCACTCTAGTAAGTACACACTGCCGAACTCCATCGTAATGGCAGTTTCTACTGACTTGCTCTAAAATGGTTTCAGCTTTAGAAGGCAGATTCCTGGAAAATGGTTTAATGTTGTCTCAAAATCACTTCAGCTGAAAAGTCACCCTCAACATATTTCTAAACAAGAGCTTTGCTGGAGGTTCTGGAGCCTGTTACTCTGGATGGTCTATGGTGCCCTGCCAATATCATTCTGCTTTTCTTTGAGCCGTTTGTACGAATGGCTAATATTTCTGACTTAGATCAGACACTGTTAGCACCTAATTAATGGTAGTCAACACATCCAGCAACTGTAATTGCTTTTGATTGGTGTGGCACAGGAGGGGGATTAGAATCTCTAGTTGCTTGTCCATGTTCTTGAATGTCACACAGCCCACAAAAGTAGAATATCAAGAACGATTTGATTTTCTTGCTGATGCTTCCAGCCTTCAGATGCTGATGGTCTTGGAGGCTTTAGTTCCATGCTACCTGCAAAAGATGAAGAGGCAGACGTCACAGGTAGAGACAGCACCTGCTGCTCGTGAAGAAATTGCTGCCACAGCTGCTCTGGCCACATCCCTACAAGCTCTTTTGTACAGTGTGGAGGTCCTTACCAGGTAATCCCAGAGGCAGAAATAACCAGTCTAAAGCCATATGTGTCCATTGAAAAGCTGAAGAAAAATGGCTGTTGCTAAGCCTCTCTAAAACCTGATCTTTATTTACAGATATCTACAGATAGCTATGTTTTTTAAAGCTATCAGCTCAGCTCTTTGTGGCTTATTACTATAAATGGTCCCTAAGCTATCTGGATAGCTAGTGCTATTGTTACTGGAATTTTTTAGGTCCCTTTGTGGTTGCCATATGATACAGTGAAAAACAGGGCCACCTCTTTAAAGTTCTTAGTCTCAATAAAAGAATTTAAGAATGGACTCAAATGGAAGCTTTAAGATAATTTTATTAGAGTTTTTAAAACTAAAAACTCTAAAATTAAAAGAAAAAGCCTCAATGCACATGCAAGCTGTAAATCTCATCAGCTGCCCTGATGAGAAAAATGGAAGCGAGAAGAAAAAAAAAAAAATCCGTCCCTTTCAAAGCTATCATGGAGGTCAGACACATGGCAAACTAGCATTCACATGGCAAGGAGGGGAGCTTTAGAGAAAGAGAAAAGAAACCCAAAATGTCGGAGAAGCCCCAAGTGCTAGGAAAAGCATGCTTAGAAAAGAAATACAAGAAAAGGAGAGGTAACAATTTTCTGAAGAATTCAGGAAAGCAGACAGATTTACAAAATAGTGTCAATAAGCTACTGCCTCAGGGACTAGGGATTCTGGGCACCAGCTCTGAGTTCACCAGCTCATTAATGCCTTAGTTCTTCCACCTTCCTCTTTAGCATGGCTTAAGGCAAACCTGCCTTCTAGGCATAGTCCAGTGGCCAAATGATCTCTTTGGCTCAACCGGAATGTTATGTCTCCACAGAGGCCAGAGATTTTATTCTCTTTACCGGGAGTTTTTTTCTTTCTTGCTACTGTAACACTAAGTAATCTAATAGTGGCAGTAGAGGTAATAATGATGTAGTAGTGATCGCTAAAGATACAATTACGTATAATTTGAACTTCTATGGTGGTTTTAACCTAGTGGTAAACAAATCTTTAGTCAAAGGGCCTAGTTAGTGAATATGAGGATATGACTCATGTTTTATTAACTATTAGAGTATTTTTAATTTTTTTTACATTTATTCACTTAGTGTATGTGTGCAAGTGAGTGTGTGTGTGTGTGTGTGTGTGTGTGTGTGTGTGTGCCATGGTGCACATGTGGAAGTCAAAATGGCTTGTAAGAATTGGCTCTCTCCTTCTACCATGTGGGTACTGGGAATCAAAGTTGAGTCATCAGGTGCCTTTATCCACTCCTGGTCCTGATGATATGTTTGCAGTTCTAACTAAGCATTCTTTTATTGTTTTACTGTTCATGAAGAGTTGAGGTAATTAATTATAATTTTAGAAACAATGTGATAAACAGAATGTTACTCTAATTCCAGAATAAAACAGGCTCATCATGGAACAGGATCAAACAATGTCAGGAAAGAAAACTGAGAGACTTGAGAAAGGAACCAGAATTCAGCTTGAAACAAAGTTCAAGAAGTTAGTTTTGTCTCAAGATTCTTGGGTACAGACATGGGAGGAAATGCTATAATGGAAAGAGCAAGGAGGGATTCTAGATGGAACAAAAGAAGGTCTGGGAGCCAGGAAGGCAGGTGCAGGGCACCAGGCCTATCGCCTTCTCCATTCCCTCTGAATTAGCTAGAGATCTATATCTTCCTGAGAGTGGGTAGGGGGACCTTCCTGGGTTTGTGAATTTGCTCTTTCATTCTTTTGCTGTGTGTACGCTATATATCCACTGTAAAGGCCACATCCCAGACTAAAATTCTGTCCATGGTCTAGCTCCCATCCCTGCACAGGCATGAGGGAACACCCTGCTTCCTTAGTCCCACCTGGCTATGTTGCTAAGAGGGTTGGTTGAAGTCCTATACTCAGAAGGCTTCCAACATGTATCAGCAGGGGAAAGAGTGGGTGGAGCTGTTGTCATGAACATCAGTATATGTTTAGTTTCTAATAATGATCCACACTGCCTGCCTAGGCAAGCAGCATAGAACCCCAAAGTCTTGAGTAGTCAGTCACCCAGTAATGCTCATAGGAGCCCAAGATGAGTCAGCAGGAAGGGGTGAGACAGAGCCAAGACAAGCCTCCTGTTCCAGTGAGCAGTCCTGAAGCTTTGCTGGTGGTGTTTTAAAAGTACTGGGAGATTGTCCTACAGAGAAATACATGATTTACATGCTTCCCTCTGTGCCTGTCTACTGACCTCTCCCTACAACTACAGGAGAGAAAAGTAATCAAGGTTTTCTAAATGCCAGTTTAGTTATTTCTTATTATATTGAAATTGACTTGCCCAAAAATGTCATGAAGAGTTATGAATAGAGTTCTGGGGTTTAAAATCCTGTGGCTGGGTCGGTGAGGTGGCTCAGCTGATAAAAGCCTTGTGGAGAAAGCCTGACGACCTGCACTGGATCCTCAAAACCCACATGGTGGAAGAGAGAACCGACTCCACAGAATTGTCTTCTGTTTACAGACACTCGTGCACACACACACACACACACACACACACACACACACTATACACACACCATACACACACTAGTAATAATAATAAATAAAATTTTAAAATAAAAACATAGCATTAAATACTCTAATACATTTAATATGCCTTTTGTGGTGTAGAAGAGAGCCTTGTTGATTAGTAGTAATGACAAAATTTATCTTTTTATTAATTAAACTCATTTTTAGATAATTCACACATGTATGCCCAATGCATACCAATTACTCTTCCGTGCCTGCATCCTTACTGCTACCCCCCCCAAACTCTCTTTTTCATGTTCATGTCTATTTGGTTTTTCTGTTATTTTTTAAAGAATAATCTTCTTTTATGTCAATACTTTATTATATAATTTCTTTATCTCATGAAAAGAGAAATTCAACAGTTATGTGGACATTCCATAAGTATATGTGTATTCGGTTTCTAACGTATAACTCTCTGCCACACACTTAGAAGCTTAAAAGACAAAACAGTATGATGTCCAGGAAGGGCCAGCGGAGCCAGGTACTCACAAAGAGGAAATGAAGGCATCGGTTAGTCTGAGCTTTATCTGAGGCCTCTGGGAGAATCCACTCCCCAGCTCATTCAGGCTTCTATGGAATTCAGTTCCATGCAATTGTTGTCTGAGGCTGTTTCTTCACTGATACCCACTCTGCGTTTAGAGGGCACTCATTCTTTTCACATGGTCCCCTGAATCTCTCAGCCAGCAACAGGCCTTAAATCCTCCCTCATTCTTCAAATCTCTGTCCCCAGACAGAGAAAACAGACTGTGTTTAAACTGTCATTGGAGTAAGCCCAGGCAGCAATTCTGCCCATACTACAAGGCATGAGAAGAGGCTATCTATTGCAGTTCTTAAAAGTTCAGTTACTGTCTAGACAAACTCAGCATCAAGAACATGAATAATTTGTTTGAAAATCTACATCATCCCTTGACCTGTGCCTTAGATGAAAATACAGAGGCAAAATCTAATACTAAAGGAAACCCCACAGATGTAAAATGAGATGATTTGAATCTATTACTAAACATCTAAATTACTAACTTAAAATAGAAATTTACTCACTTTCTAGGTAAACTTATGTATAATTATCATTAGAAGAGTTATTCCAATATTTGATGGTTCCTCAGAAAAGTGTACTGATTGTGGTGCAGATAGCCAAGGAGATATGCTGTTATCTGCTGTTATCTAGAATGATGAACTGCCTGGAACCCAGAGAACCGAAGAATGAACTCTTAGCTGCCAACTGGCATTGACCTGCAAGTTTAATCATGTGTTATTTGAAGAGTCATAGTTTGTGATTCAGAACTAAGAAATAGAATTTAAATCATGGTGAGCATATAGATTTGGGACATTAATTTTGCCTCTAAAGGAACTCTCAGAAAGCCCAAAGCTAGACAGCCTGTCCTTTTAAGACTTGAAAACTTAGGTGGTCTTCAACAACTTGAGACTTTCATAAGCGTTTCCACTTCTACTGTTGATTTGTTCTGGCAACACTGTTATTGTTGCAGGCCCATGACAGCCCCACAGATGAGCAGGTGCGATCAAGGTCACAAGGGTACAACCACAGCCAATCACACCATGTCATCTGGAGTGAACACCAGGTAATTCACTGTACCTTATGTTTCTATGGCCTCTCCCTTTCATACAACCTGAATTTCAATTATAGAGAGTGGAAGGAATCCTGAAATAGCCAATATTAAGTGTGAAAAACTGTACAGAAAAACTTCAAAGAAATGAGGGGGAGGGTTTAAAGAAAATACCAAGGCTACTTTCAAAAATCATTGAAGAAAAATTCAAGCCACCCTCATGAGTTGGCACGTCTGTTGTCAGCACCCCCAGCTGGTGAGAGGCTTCAGCCAGACCTTGGGAGAGGGAGCCCCTCCCTTCTCATGTCCACAGAGTTTCCCTGTTTTTCCAGCTTGCCTTAGTTTCAGGTCTTATTTCAGTCATAAAGCAATGTGTTCCCAAAATAGAAAGAAATAAGTCACACATACACACCTTCCTTATCGTTTGAAACAAAAATGGTGTTAAAATTATGCCTCTGCCATTCTGTGGGTTTTCTGTTTGTTTCCTTGGTTGTCTCCTTTGATGTGCAGAAGCTTTTTAGTTTGATTAGGTCCCACATGTTAATTCTTGCCCTTGTTTCCTGGGCTATTGGTGTCCGGTTTAGAAAGTC